GCTAGTGTCAGAATCAGCAGCACCTTGAAAAGCTGGGTTCCTGTGACATCCTTTGGGGCATCCCTCAGTTTTCCTATTGCTATGAGGGGTTCTGCATGCTTCCTTCACAATATTTCTGAGACTTAAATAGGAGAAGCCTTCTTAAAAAAAAAAAAAAAGCTAAATGTCAGGGGAAAAAATAGGGGAAAAGGGTATGTGGGGGCAGAGTGCAGAAAGGTGCTGGAAAACATGAGACAGGGCTTTGAATCCCGAGCTGTTTAGTTTCTCGGGCCTTTACTGTGGATTTGAACTTGTGCTTGCAGGAGGTAGGGGGTCTGGTGCAGACTGGAGGACCCGAGAGGACACTGTGCTCATGTGGGCAATGAAGCAAGGCTTGGTGTGAGTGTCGAGCAGCACCAGATGAGAGGGTACTGCTTGGGTTCATGTGCTGACGCTGAGAGTGGGCCGGGATGGAGGGGAAAGAAGGACACAGTTGCACTGAAGCATCTACCATGTGTCTGGCCCTGTGGCGAGCATTTCTGCACACTCTGCAGCTCACAGGACATTGTTTGTCTCCTCAAAGCACTTACCTTGACTTAACCACAATTCCCAGTACCAGGGCCTGTGTCTGTCTTGGCCCCTGCAGTATCCCCAGTGTCTGGCACCTATTAGGTGCTCTGCAATGATTTTGAATGATCCAACTTTTTCTTTTCCTCTCCCCTCCCTTCTCTTAAATCTCACTTGGTCCTTTGGGTAACCTCAAATAAATGTGTTTAAGGTTTGGGGAGTTCATCTTTTTTTTTTTTTTTTTTTAAGACTGGAGTATCACTCTGCCACCCAGGCTGGAGTGCAGTGGCGCATCCTTGGCTCACTGCAACCTCTGCCTCCTGGGTTAAAGTGATTCTCCTGCCTCAGTCTGGGGAGTTTATCTTAAAAACATCAGGAGAGTTGTGCCAAGTCCAGTCAGCCGTGCAACTTATGAGAAAGAGCAAAGACTCAGAAAGCATAAGTTACTTGCCCAGGGTCAAGTGGTGGAGCTGAGATTTGACCCAGCTGTGTCTGACTATCCTGCTTTTCCTCCATGGCTTGCTTCCTCTCTAAGTGAGGGAACTCAGAACACTTGACCCCAGGGCTGGACAAAGCAAGACCAATATTTCTTTAATGCTGGGCAAATGACTCCTTCCTTGTCAGTTTCTGTGCCCCGATCTGCAAGGATCAGGCTAAGGCAAGCAGGCAGGGCCAAGCTCTAGGCCACTCAGGCCATCCAGGAGGAGGAAAGAGGGCTGGAGCACTCCTGGACAGCCTTGGACATCACTGGGTGCCGCCAGAGATCTCTTAAAAGGCAGCTGCATGGGCTGAACTCTATCTGGTTTCTACCTATCCTCTGTAATTGGTACTTATTTTGTAAAAGATGACTAAGAAAACCTAGCTCCGGGCAGTTCTGATTTTCAAATTTCTAACTAAGAAATGTGTTCATATGAATAACTGGTTCAGTGTTTATTCTGAGAGCATCTCTTATACATTAGTCCATCCTATGCCATCTGTCCCAACTTGTTCAGTTACACAACTATTTAATTGAGTTAGGACTTGGTCCTAGCCTTTGTACTAGAGCCTAGAGAAGCCTGTGTCCTTGGCAGTCACATTGGAGTGGACGCGATACCAATTAAGTTCCTGTGTGATAAGAGCCTACAGACAGCTCCTTCCGTGTGCTGAAGGAGCCTGGAGAGGAAAAGCATGACTAAGTCTTGCTGCTCTTTTTTTTGCCTGTGCTGGTCTGACTGTGGCCACAGTGAGGTGGGGGAGGGGAAGCCAGTGGGGGAGGGACCGCCTGTTTCCCTTCTTGACGGGGCTGGACAGCAACCCCAGGAGGAGGGGAAGAGCAAAGAATTTCCGAGGTGACCACATTTCCCCCGCCTGCTTCCTACACCTAAAGGACCTGCAGTTACATTCAGCTGACTGACCACCCAGTTGTATCTTCTCTTTCTCCTGACACCCCATGGTAAAGGAATAAAGAAGGATTCATCTCTCATAGAAATACCATTCAACCCAGCACTCCCACTACTGGGTATATACCCAAAGGAATATAAACCCATTCTGTTATAAAGATACAGACACACAGATAGATGTTCATTGTAGCACTCTTCACAAGAGCAAAGACATGGAATCAACCCAAATGTCCATCAATGATAGTCTGCGTGAAGGAAATACAGTACACGTATGCCATGGAACACTATGCAGCCATCATAATGAATGAGATCCTGTCCTTTGCAGGGACATGGATGGAGCTGAAAGGCATTTTCCTCAGCAAATTAATGAAGGAACAGAAAACCAAACCACACATGTTCTCACTTATAAGTGGGAGCAGAACAATGAGAACATATGAACACGTGGTGGGAAACAACACGCACTGGGGCCTGTTTCGGGGACTGCGGGGCAGGGAGAGCACCGGGAATAACAGCTAAGGGATAAAGGAGCTTAATACCTAGATGATGGGTTGATCTGTGCAGTAAACCACCGTGGCACACATTTACCTACGTAACAAACCTGCACATCCAGCACATGCATCCTGGAACTTAAAAGTTGAAAGACAAAGATGGATACGTAGTGCACAGTGGGATAAATCGCATATAGTATTTATCCATCGCTAAGGACAAAGAGAACAGGATAGAGACAACAGTAGTTTGTGGTTTCAACCACTTTTTAGGTGGCAGGAAGCAGTTGAAGGGACAAATGGTACTTGGTTGGGCTGAGTGGAGGAAGTTAGCTATGGACTGTGCAAAAAGCGTATTCTCAGAGGCAGCTGCACGTGAAGGTCAAAAGACCAGGCCTCAGGTCCCATCGTCCCTGAGGTCAACATGACCTTGGACAAGTCACTTTCCTCTCATTTTTCCATCACAATATGAAGTGATTATACTAGATATGTGATTCTCACCTTCCGGTGTCCGAGAAAATTACCTAGGATTTTTTTTTTCTTTCAAACATGTACGAGTACATGTGTTTTAATTCTGATTCTGAAATGGGACTAAGGTATTCAGATTTTTGAAAAACCTTAAGAGCCACTGTTTCAGATAGTCTGGAAGGGCCCTTTCAACTTGGACAGGCCAGATTCTCACGTAGGTGTTGGTTTGGAGGGCGGCCTGAAGGAAAGTGTTGCAGGAATATAAGACTTTTTATGTGGCGTGAGGGTTCTCACAAGAGGCTGAGATCCTATCTGCTGGGTATGGCAGAAGTGCCTTTGTGGAGACAATGGCATTTGCCATGGGTAGGATCTTCACAGAGGGAGATGGAGGTGTGGGCTCTGCAGGGGGAGGTTACAGCAGGAGCAAAATCCCTAGAGACAGTGCAGTAAGTGGCAGTTACTTGCAATCAGGAATTGCAATTACCTGAATGCCTTGGCATCCTCTGAGGCATGCCACGAAGGACCACAAATGTCCAGATGAGTAGCTTGGTGCTTCATACAATTGATGGTGCATAGCCACTGCATGTTTCTGTGCTAGAGAGTGCGAGATCAGAGTACATCAGTCTAGCCATCACTCCATGTGATACACATGGGCCTCATGACTTCAACGCCTAGAGTTGGCTCCGCTACTTTTTCTTGAGCACCACTAGTGCTCTTTATTCCAAGCACTGCATAGGTCTTCATGACCCAGCCTTCTCCGGAGCTGTACAGCCACATCTCTCTGCAGCCACCCTCTCACTCCTGTCACTTTCTTTGCACCCTACACTTCAGCTTTTCCTGATGACTTGGAATGAAGTATGCTCCCCTGATGCCTTGTCGTCCTCACACAAGACCCGGCCTCTACTTATCATTCCCTTCTCCACATCAGGGCACAGGAGGCGTTGCTTAAAGAACATCCTCCTGGCTGAGGTGGTGGTTCACACCTGTACTCCCAGCACTTTGGGAGGCCGGGGCAGAAGGATTGCTTGAACCAAGGAGTTCAAGACCAGCCTGGGCAACACAGTGAGACTCCATCTCTATGAAAATAAAAAGTAAAAAATAATTATCTGAGTGAGGTAGTGCACACCCAGATACCTACTTGTCAGGCTAAGGCAGGAGGGTTGCTTGAGCCCAGGAGTCTGAGGCTGCAGTGAGTTTGCACCCCTACACTCCAGCCTTGGTGACAGAGTGAAACTCTAGAGAAAAAAAAAAAAGGCAAAATTCCCTGGCTGAGGCAGAAGGGTTGCTTGAGTCCAGGAGTTTGAGGCTGCGGTATGTTTGTACCACTGTACTCCAGCCTGGGCGACTAAGCGAGACTCTAGAAAACAAACAAAAAGGGAAAATTCCCTGGCAGGACTCTCAGACGCTAGTGAGTAGCTCTGGGTGGTTTTTGCTTGTTTATTTGTGAGTTGAAGAGAAGTGGCTCGAGGTCAGGCAGTGCATCTCATTGGTAACTGCCTTCCCTGGGGCTACCCAAGGACCTCGAACAGAATAAGCTATTGAAAAGTGTTGAGGCTTGAAAAAAAATAGAAATAGCAACTATCTAGGCCAGACACTTGACATAGAGAATCTTATTTAATTCTTATCGCACACCCTTGAGACATGTATTGCTATTTGCATTTTGTGTGGATATGCATTTGGGTAAGTTTATGTAATCCCTCCCTCATCTGCAGAACTGGGATTCAAATGCAGGTGTATCTCTGTCCAGGTCCAGACTCTTCTGCCCTGTGGGAGCAGCTGCATGCCTGGATGGAAGGACGTAGGGTTGGACAAGCCACACGCGGGTCACTTCCTCTCACTTACTTTTCTTAGCTTCCCACTCAACCAGGGCAGTTCCTACGCACTTTTTCAAGATTCTTATCAGCTCCTACACTTGGGGAAATTCCCAATGTCACCTATCAATCCATCACCACCACAAATACCACCCAGGAGAGGCAGGGAAAGGAGTTAACCACATGGTCACTGGGTGTGAGCAACTGTTCCCTGTCCCTGTGGCTTCTCACTTGTGCCTCCCACCATGACCTGGAAAACTCCACCTGGTCTCAAAATAAAAGCCCTCGGCATTGCAGAATGGCACAGTGGTGAGCTTGCAGCTTCACCAGACTCATCGAGGCTGCTCCAGGAAGGCCCAAGCCAGACCACCAGGCATGCAGATCATCACCATGGCCCTGGTGTGCTTGCTGCTAGCTGGGATGTGGCCACAAGATGTGGACAGCCAGAGCAGTGAGTATGGCAGGCACCACTTTGCTTCTCTCTGGGGAGAATAGAAATGTGGTCAGCCACTCTGGGGTTGAAGCAGGCCTCACCAACTCTTATCTCCCCTCTTCCTATCTAAAGAGGAGGAATGGCGAACTTGGGTGGGCTGGGGGTGAGGGCCAGTGGGAGAACCGAGTTGGGGCAAACAGAGAAATGAACTTCCAGCTTCAGTACAAGGCAGCTCTGCTTCATCCAGGCCCAAGGGAGGGAACCTGTGAGGTTACTTAGGTAAAACTGGGAGCCCCGAAATCTAGGGCAGGGCCTGGATGTAGCTTCTACAGTGTGACAGACACCAAGCAGACTCTGAAGGCAGGACCAGGGCTCTATCAGTCAGCTGCACTTGGGCAAGTCACTTTAGCTCTCAAACTCTGCCTTCTCTATCAGTGAAATGGAGGTGATGATGTCTACTCTCCAAGGCTGTTTGGAGAATACCAACCTAGTAACAGCCATGAAAGGGGTTGTGAACAGAAGAACTAGGAGGAAGAAGCTGGAATTAGAATGCAAGTCTCTTAGGGGATGAGGTGTAGGAGGAGAATGCACAAATGGACAGAGTGGGGTTTGGGGGCTCAGAAAGAGCGGAGGATCAGGGCAGGAGGGGATTTAATAGGCTGAGTAGGGAGCTAGCTAGTTCCTGGGAGCTCTTCCCTTGTCATCTCATCAGTTTGGACTCCTTGGACAATTCCTAATCTTCCCCAGGTCAGGTCTGTGAAGTGTGGACCACAGTGTCCTGCATCAGACTAGCCAGGCCCCCAGGGGGTAGGGCCCAGAGCCCAGAGCCCTTGGACATGCATATTGGGGCAGAACCACGCACATGTGGTGAAATACCAAAACTGGATGAGCTTTTAGAAACCAGGCTCCAAAAAGTCTCATTTTACAGATGAGAAGTCTGAGGCTGGAGTGGAGGTACCCTTTCATCAAGGCAACTTGGTTGGTGTGTGGGGAGCTCAGATCTGAACCCCAATCTTCTGACTCTCACCTAGACCCAGAACGAGGTAGCTGATGACACAGAGCCATGCCGGCACCCTCTAGATGTGGTCTCCAAACCAGGGCTTGTCCTGGGGGGTGTTTTTTTGTTTGTTTGCTTTTTAAAATTTGTGCTACAGGTGGGAGGTTGAGAAATGGATGCAAACCACCATTTATGTTTCTCTTCTAGTGCATGTGTCCTTCTCCAGATGTTGCTTCTCATTTGTGAGGAAAAAGATTTCCCTGGGGGCAATCCAGTGTTACAGAAACACCAGCTCCAGCTGCCCGCATCGTGGTTTCATGTAAGTGATCACCTGTTCCATCTCTCCCTAGAGAACAGAACCCCGCCAGCCTGGAATTAGAATAGTGGACACTAGATGGCAATATTTCACCAGAATAAGGTTTCTAAACCCAGCGCCACCAACACCTGGGTGCAAGTCGCGCTTGGGCGCTAGAGGGAGCGCTGAGCTTCCTAGCAGGTTAAGAGGGATGCATCTGTGCTCCTGCAGTGACTTGTGTTTCCTGAAACTCCAAGGTGCCAAGTATTATATCCCAGCATTATAGGCTCAGAGGAAGGAATTGTTTAACAAAAACACGAGGGACTATTGTGCCGTGGAAAGAGCAAGGGAACCAAGATTAATTCCTGCCTCTGGATTGGGAACCTATAGTCTTGGGTAACCTTGGACAGGTAACTCCTTTGTACCTAATTATCTGTGTATCCTTTTGTATTCCTTATCTGTAAAGGGGCATAAACATGATACCGGTATCACAGGGTCTTTATAAACTTAACTGGGGTAGCTTTCACAAGCCAGTCAGTATTTTAAGGCCCTTTCATGTGTATTATCTCTGCCAATCCTCTTGGGACACATATTTTTGTGATCATGAAAAGTGATGTTCAGGAAGATAGAGATATTTGTCTAAGATCACCCAGATAGTAAGAAACAAAGTTGATATATAGATTGGACAAGAGTCTGGTTTAGGAAATAAGAAGATCAAAAGAGAAACACGCACACACACACACACACACACACACACACACACACAGGAGTCCAATCCAACAAGCAAGATCCCAGATGGACATAGAAACATTAACGCTGGAGCAGAGAGCTATTCTAGGATGGAAATTTTTTATCCCAGCTAATCATCAGAATGTTTTCAGGGTCTTCAGCCCCACCCTGATACAACAAATTGAAACCAGCAGAAGGGTCCAGGAAGCTCAATTCATAAGCTCCTGGTGCATTGGCTCTTTCCCGGCATGCAAGCAACAGATCTTGTGCAGCAACTTCATTTACAGAGGGGAGCTCAAGGCCCAGCAAGAGCAGCCTAGGGCACCTGGCAGCAGGAAGAGATGGGGTTTGTGCGGTGCCCACACAGTGGTGGCTTGGGTGGCTCAGCCCTCTCTCTTGTTCTCTGTTCACAGATTCAAGCTGAAGAGAGGCAAGGAAGCCTGTGCCTTGAAGACAGACAAATGGGCTCAGAAGTACGGAGAAAAGCTGAGCTACTGCCCGCCAGAAAGAAAATGAGCAGATTTCTTTCCATCATGGGCTCTGGAAATCATGTGGAAATCATGAAACCCCCAGCCCTGCATTGTTCCTTCTGCCCCATGTTTGCTGGGACATGGAGGATCAGCTTGGTCTTCATAAGCTATGTTGTCACACTTTATATATTTAAATTACAGAATCATCAACCCCCACCCCTCTGAGTCTCTTGGATTTCAGAGTGAAAACTTGATGGGCATTGAGAGGTGGTGGGCAGGGGCTGAAGGATGGGGAAGGAGGAGGGAGGCTTGTTGTACCTGGTGCCAGGGGAACTGAGCTAAATTAGTGACTCTCTACCTCTCAGTGGCTGCCTTTGTCCTGGGAGTAAGCTTTGACTGGGGGTGGTGGTGCAGATTTTCTGCTTCCAAGTTTGGCTGTCAAGAGGGGTACAGTGGAAGAGAAAGCTGGGGTTCACAGCTGGGCCACTTTTGGGTGCAGGACTCTCCTTCTTCCTGCCCTGCCCAGAGGGCTCAGGGGGTGATATTATAACTAAATCACAGCTGCCCTATCTGAAGGGGATCATGTGAGATTCTCTGCCTATGAGGTGGCCAAGGGCTAAAGAGAGATGCAGCAAGTTGGGGTGGGGGTGGCGGATCTGGTGATCGAACCCAGGGCTGTTGCCTCCCAGGACAACTCCTACTGGCGTCCTAAATTGCCAAGTGTACTGCCTGATGCAGTGTGGTACAAGATTCAGGGGACAGGCCCTGCTGTTGTCAGCAGTGCTGATCTCTCCTTGGGTATCCAAGCATGGGTGGGTTCCGGGTCTGATCGAGATGCCCGCCCAGCTTATCTGGAGGAGTGAGTCTGTCTTGGGAAGAGCAGGAGAACCCTCGGTGGAAGAGGAGGCCCAGGTGCTTTAAAAGGGACAATCACAAGCTCCAATTTGTACAAAGTGTGATGTGAGGAGAATAGCCAGGGAAGAAAGTATTTCTAGGTTTTGGGATTGGCATGCCTTTAAAGGTCACTTTTAGAGGGCGAAGGTCTCATGCTGTGTTTCCCTCTTTCCCCATTCAACATGTCACACATCTGGCCCAGTCTTAATCTGCCTCCTCCCCTCTACCCCCATGACTGCCCTTCGTCACTGGCTATTTCGTCTTGCTTAGACAATTGCCGTAGGCTGTCTTCAGCCTTCCCGTCCCAACTCCATCTCATTCACAGCCACTGGCTACTCTTCCTGGCACCCATCCTTCCCTCTGGATGACTCAAAAACCTTCACACCTTCCTCTTGCCTTCAGAACTGAGTCTAAACCCCCCACTCTGGTATTCTAATTCCTGAAGAACCTGTCCTCAACTTTCCTTTCTACATGTCTCCAACTTTTACACCGTGGAACTCTGAATCTGAACATTTTGGGGCTATTCCCCCCCAAGGCCCTCTCCCCACATTGCCGTCTTACACCTCCCCTGGAAGAATCTTTGCTGTGACCACGCTTCCCCATCCTCGAAGGTCTGTTCTGCCCAAGTCCCCTCTTCCCTGCTGATCCTGGGGCTCACTAGGACTTGGTCATCTGGCTTCCCTCTGGGAGTCAGGGGCACGCGAAGTCAGAATCACTTGCTGCTTGCACTGGGGAGGCATGGATTGGGGCAGGAGACTAGACGGGGAGGAAGGGGTTTACTTTGGGCAGGAGTGTGGTTTTAAAGGAAGAAATGAACTGAATATGAGACTGATGAGTTGCGAGCCAGGGGTGCCCATGTTGGGGACTGGAGCTCTTGTTCCAGAACAGCCTGGGCTGGTGAGGCAGGCCCTCCTTGAAACCCAGATGAGCCAGGCTAGCCCCATGGCCAGGGTCTCTACACCCGCCTTTCACTAGCATGCTCCACCATCCACCCACACCTCTGAGAGCCCCTGCTGATTGGAAGTTACCCCTGAAGAAAACATCACTGTGTAAGAGATTTTAAATAAAGTGTACTTTCTGCACAATGTCAGCAGGCCTATTATTGCATTTGTCTTTCCACAATAACATATTTAGCAACACTTGATATTTACGAAGAGTTCTCCTCCCTGCCTTGCAGCATCCCTTCATGTCCGTGACTCCCACAGGCACACTCTCAACCCCTGCGAGTACAAGAGAACCCACTGCCAGCGGCTCACAGTGGAAGGCACGGGGGCCCACAGACAGGAACAAACTTGCTCAAGGCCTTGCTTTAAAAAAGAACACCCATACTCAAACTCCAAACCAGCAACAATTCAAGTAACAGTCAATATTACTTAACACAGAGTACATTTTGCATCACCAAACAGAATGCATTCTATTTGAAAATGATGGTAGAAATATTCCAAAGTATAGATGAGGAGGCCAGAGGAGAATGGAAAAGTCATTTCACATACTCTGGCTTGATTTCAGCGTGGGTAGCAGAGTTCAAGTCTTTGGGGTGTGAGCTTTCTGGCCCAGGCATTTCATATAATTCTGAACTCACTTCTCCTTTGTGTCAGCACAGATCTCCTTGTCCAGTTTGGTTCTGAAGTTGTGGAGGAAGGAAAGCTGGCACTGTTAGGATGGAACTCTTTGAGGGTTTACCCAGGAGTTGACACACTGGGCTGTAAACCTGCCTGGCCCACCTGCTACAGGTGAAGGGGCATCCTTCTGGGACAGGAAGTAGGAGGTGTGTGGACAGAAGCGTTCTCTGGAGGAAGCTGCTGCTCTTGCTTGCCCTGGGAAACTGATCCTGGTGTTTGCTAAAGGCTGTGGGCTGGTGCCCATCCAGGGAGCAGGGCATGGGAAGTTATAGACCCTCTTTCGGCCTGTTGAGCAGTCAGAATAGGAGAGTTTGCATCACACGTTCTGGTTCGATCTCATCCTGAGTCAGATCCCAGGTCAGTCTGATGTCTGTCTCCTGGGGCAGAACTTTTGATTTGGGGAATGTGGGGGTGGAGAGGAGCCAGGTGAGCAGGAGTTTTCTACCCACATGACAGCCTTCTGGGGACCCCGCCTGTTGGTGATCTGATAGTTCTTCAGCCTCTGCAAGGAGATCTTCTTACTGCTAAATGTGAAGCAGCAGATGGATGGGACATTGAGTGCACTTAGAAATAAAGTTACAAAGGAAAAGCCTTTGAGGATGTGTTAGGCTTTTCTCAGCTTGAATGCAGCAAGGAGAATCTGTATGGGTTGCAAAGCAAAGAGGAAGAAGTAGATCTTATTCACCCCCAGGCCCAGCGCTCCCACCCTAGACCCTGAGGTGAGGTGAAACCTGTGACATGTGCCTCAGGATCTCAAACTCTCAGCTGCATGGTGGGGACGTGTCACTGCCATCTAGGGGAGGCCATGGGCAAGGCCAGTGGGAAAGGTCCTGTGTGTGGTCCCAGATCTGCAGAGTTTGGGATGATCAGATGAGGTCAAAGAAAAGCCCCTAAATTTGGAGTCAGAAGCTTAGGTTTCATTCTTGCTCTGGGATAACCTGGAGGTGGCTGGGTTGGGTCTCTTCTGTCCCCAACTTGGGCTTCAGCTTTCTGTCTTTAAAATTAGATGTTAAAGTAAACCTCTGAGGAACCTTACCACTCTGGTGGGCTTAGAAGTGGGACAATGGCTGGGTGCGGTGTCTCACGCCTATAATGCCAGCACCTTGGGAGGCCAAAGCAGGCAGATCACTTGAGGTTAGGAATTTAAGACCAGCCTGGCTCACATAGTAAAACCCTGTCTCTACCAAAAATACAAAAATTAGCTGGGTGTGGTGGCAGGTGCCTGTATTCCCAGCTACTCAGAAGGCTGAGGCAAGAGAATTGCTTGAACCTGGGAGCTGAAGGTTGCAGCGCGCTGAGATCACACCCCTGCACTCCAACCTGGGCCACAGAGTAAGACTTTGTCTTAAAAAAAAGTGGGGGCACCTGGGCTTAGGGCTTTCTAGAAGAGAGAAACAGATGAAAAGGAAGGGAGAGACGAAGGGAAGAGGGGCCTTAACTGGCTGAGCAAGCCCCTGGAGAATGAAGGCTGCTGTTATGAGCAGCAGGCACAGAAGTGCTCCAGAGACTTTCATGTTGGAGGGCAAGAGTTGGATATTTAACAATGTTTCTTGGTCTCTCTGCTCCTCTGGCTGTTCTGCCTGCCTTTTGCAGGGAGTGAAAAGGATTGGAGCTCTCAGAGGACCCTGGCCTGAGCAGGGTGATGACCAAGTTATGATGAAGGGTAGTCCTGAATCTGCTGAGCTGGAGGTGCAGACTGAAGACTTTTCTAGGAAATGCAAGAGGGAAGCTGAGGGCTGAAGCAGCACAGCATGGCTTCCTTCTGGCTGTCCAGGCCACAAGGAGCCAGAGAGGAATGTGCCCCAGCCACTCACCATGGGAAGCCATCCAAGGAGCTGTTCTCTGCTTACTTTCTCCAACAGGAAAAAGAAAAACAATGAAAATTAACTCCTGTGGGACATGCAGGGCTGTTACATAGGTAAATAAATATGTGCCATAGTGGTTTGATGAACCTACCAACCCATCACCTAGATATTAAGCTCCACCTACATAAAAAAACTAAAGAAAAAGGAAAAGGGTACATATAACCAGTTGCAGAGCCTACATATACCAAAAAGAAAATAATAAGAACCTTATGCCAAAAATTTGATTTAGAGGAAATGGATGAATTTCCCAAAAATCTAACTTACCAGGGTCCGCAAAAAAATAAAAAATAGAAAGTCATTCTAAAGCTATTAAAGAAATGGAATCAGCAATTGAAAATCTTCCCACAAAACATTCTCTCGGCTCAAAGGGCTTAAACAACGAATTCCTCCAAGCATTCAGGGAACTGATCATTTCAATCTTGTGCAATCTCTTCAAGAGAATATCAGAAGATTGTACACCACTCAATTTATTTTGCGCCCTACCTTTGACACAAAAGTGTGTCAAGACCCACAGGAGAAAAGGATATTACAAGCTGTCCCTTCAGACACACATTCCATTCTTTTCCATTCTATTCTCTGCCCTGGGAACCCAATCTTGGTGGGTTATATCAGTGAGGTTGCTGGCCTTCTAGCTTCTGGTTGGGTTAGTCACAACGGAGCCCCTGAGGACAACAGAGTAGGGTGAAGTGTTGAGTTTCTTCTTCCTCTGTTGTCTCCCTGTGTTCTCAACATAGATACATCCCTCAACCAATGGTTTTAACTTCTTTCAAGGCAGTCTTTCCAAGACTCTCCTATCCAGGTTTGGTGAGCTAACCCCTGATCTTTCTTTTTAGATTTAGGAGTACATTCTTTTTAAAAAATTTTATTTTCAGTTCCAGGATATATGTGCAGGACGTGCAGGTCTGTAATCTAGGTAAACATGTGCTATGGTGGTTTGCTGCACCTATGAACTCATCACCTAGGTATTAAGCTCAACCTACATTAGCTACTTATCTTGATGCTCTCCCTTCCCCTCACCACCTGACAGGCTTCAGTGGAATAGCTAAGACAATCCTAAACAAAAAGAACACAACTGGAGGCATCACACTACCTGACTTCAAACTATGCTGCAAGACTACAGTAACCAAAACAGCATAGTGCTGGTATAAAAAGACATATAGACCAATGGAACAGAATAGAGATCTCAGAAATAAGACCACATATCTATAACCATCTGATCTTTGATAAACCTGACAAGAATAAGCAATGGGGAAAGGATTCCCTGTTTAATAAACTGTACTGGGAAAACTGGCTAGCTATATGTAGAACATTGAAACTGGACCCCTTCCTTACACCTCATATAAAAATGAACTCAAGATGGGTTTAAAGACTTAAATGTAAAACCCAAAACTATAAAAACCCTAGAAGAAATTCTAGGCAATACCATTCAGGACATAGGCACAGGCAAAGATTTCTTGATGAAAACGTCAAAAGCAACTGCAACAAAAGCCAAAATTGACTAGTGGGATCTAATTAATGAGCCTCTGTACAGCAAAATAAACTATCATCAGAGTGAACAGACATCCTACAGAATGAGACAAAATTTTTGTAGTGTAACCATGTTTTTAATAGCCTCAGAGTAACAAACATCCCTGTGGTCTCTCTTTACCAACTTACATCTTTGTAAATAGCTTCTTTACTAAACCTTTCTCCAAGTCTTCCATTTAAAGTGTTATCTATTTCTTGTTGGGACACTTACTTACTGACATAGAATTGGCCCCATAAAATAAAACTTACAAATAGGATTCTGGGATTGGGTTGCTAATATATTTTGGGTGCATCATGGAAAGGAACACAGTAATAGAATCTGTACACATCACGATCACTTTAATTACTACCAGCAGCAGACTGCTTTGACAAGCCCTCCAGGTGATCCTGATATACACAAAAGTTTGAGAACTAAGGGATAATAGCATACCCACTGTCATCACTGATCTATAAAGAATAGCCACCATGGAGCTCTCAAGCATCCTGCCCTCTCCCCACATCGCATCAAAGCATTTCTTAATACCTTGATTAAAGGGCGTATCCCCCCGGAGATCCCTGGGAGTACAGTCAGGGACGGCTCAGTAGCTTGCACATAGATAAAATAGATTCACTCCAACAGATCCACTTCCCTAAGTCTCTGGACTCCTTCCTAGCATTCCAGGGAATTTCTGGCATTTCAACTTCATTAAATGCAGGCTTATTTTTTAATTTTTAATTTTTGTGAGTACATAGCAGCTGTCCATATTTATGAATTACATGAGATTTTGTTGTAGGTATGCAATGTGTAATAACTACATCAGGGTAAATGGGATATCCATTGCCTCAAGGATTTATTGTCAGGTAGTTTATTTGAAGGTTTTCTTATTGTTTTGTTTATAGCTCTAGGAACTTAGAGCTATAAATTAACCTCTTAGCACTGCTTTTGCTGGAGCCCGTATGTTTTAGTATACTGTGTATCCATCATTATTTGCTTCAAGAAGTTTTTCATTTTCCTTCTTAATCCCTTCATTGACCAACTGGTTGTTCAGGAGCATATTGTTTACATTCCTGTGTTTGTATAGTTCCCAAAGTTACTCTTGTTATTAACTTCTGGTTTTATCCCATTGTGCTCGAATATACTCAATATTATTTCAATTTTTAAAATGTTTTGTAACTTGTTTTATGGCCTAACATCTGATGTATCTTTGAGAGTGATCTATGTGCTGAGAAGAATGTTTATTCTGCAGCTGTTGGATTAAATGTTTTGTAAATATCTATTGGATTCATTTGGTCTATAGTGCAGATTAAGTCTGATGTTACTTTGTTGATTTTCTGTCTGAATGATCTATTTCAAAGGCTGAAAGTGGGGTGTTAAACTCTCCAGCTGTTATCCTACCAAGTCTGTCTCTCTCTTTAGCTCCAATAATATTTGCTTTATATATATGGGCACTTCAATGTTGGCTGCCTATATATTTTTAATTGTTATATCCTCTTGGTAAATTGATACTTTTATCACTATATAATAACTCCCTTCATCTCTTTTTTATGGTTTTTGTCTTGAAATCTATTTTGTCTGGTGTTAGTAGAGCTACTCTTGTTCTTTTTTGGTTTCCATTAGCTTGGAGTATCTTTTCACATCCCTTTTGTTTTCAGTCTTTGTGTGCCTTTATAGGTGAAGTGTGTTTCCTGTAGGCAACAGATCATTTGGCCTTGCTCTTCCATCCATTTAGCCACACTCTCCTGCTTTTGATTAGAGAGTTTAGTCTACTTACATTTAATGTTACTATTAATAAGTAGGACGTACTCCTGCCATTTTGTTATTTGTTTTCTGATTGTTTTGTGGTCTTCTCTTTCTTGTTTTCTTCCTTCCTATCTTCCTTTTGGTGAAGATTATCTTCTCTAGTGGTATAATTTAATTTCTTGATTTTTATTTTTTGTGTATCTGTTGTGTGCTTTTAGATTTGAGGTTACCATGAGGGTTGCGGACAATGTCTTATAACTCATTATTTAAAAAATAAATAATTTGGCCGGGCGCGGTGGCTCAAGCCTGTAATCCCAGCACTTTGGGAGGCCGAGGCGGGTGGATCACGAGGTCAAGAGATCGAGACCATCCTGGTCAACATGGTGAAACCCCATCTCTACTAAAAATACAAAAAACTAGCTGGGCGTGGTGGCGCATGCCTGTAATCCCAGCTACTCAGGAGGCTGAGGCAGGAGAATTGCCTGAGCCCAGGAGGCGGAGGTTGCAGTGAGCCGAGATCGTGCCATTGCACTCCAGCCTGGGTAACAAGAGCGAAATTCTGTCTCAAAAAATAAATAAATAAATAAATAAATAATTTAATACTGATTACATAAACAGGCAATGAGAAAACTGATAAAATCTCTACACTTTAACTTCATCTCCCCACTTTTTAACTTGCTGTTGTTTCTGTTTATATTTTACTGTACTATCTATATCTTCAAAAGTTGTTATAGTTATTTGGATCAGTTCATCTTTTTGTCTTTCTACTTAACATATGCATAGGTTATACAGGCAATTACTGTTATTCTGTGTTTTTCCAAGACCTTGGTGGTCTTGGATAAACTAAAAGGATTCTCTGGACTACCAGGCAGAGACTCTTGTTTTTTTAAAAATTACTTTCTCCTAAACAGAGTAACTCTCTCTGTGCTGAGATCTCTGGAGCTGGAAAAGAAGTTACACAACTATCCCTGTGACCACCACTGCTGGGACTAAACTGTTGAACCTAAAACCAGTACAGTATTTGGTCTTTCCCAGGGCTGACTGTATCCACTAGCTGACTACTGGCTGTGTTCACTCAAGGCCCTAGGGCTCTACAATTAACACGTGGTGAAGTCAGGCCTACGTCCTTCCCTTAAGGGCAGCAAATTCTACCAGGCCTTAGACAAGTCCAGAGATGCTGTTCGGGAGCCAGGCTCTGGAGTCGGAAACCATAGTAATATACCTGGTGCTCTGTTCCACTGTGGCTGAGCTGGCACCCAAGCCACAAAATGAAGTTCTTTCCACTCTTTTATTTCCTTTCCCCAGGCAGAGGAGTCTCTCCTCATGTTCACCATCACCACCACAGGCCCATAAGGAGTACTGCCAGGGTACTTCCAATGTTCATTTACGGCCTAAGGGCTCT